AAAAATTATATTAAAAATCAACACAAAAACATGGTAAAAATATGGATTTATCGTTTCTTATGGGATACAAAAATAAAATTTATGAAAAAATATTTCTAAACGGTAGTAAATTTGGCCTGGACAGACCCCTGATTGTAGTATTTGAGCATATGCTGAAATCAAAGTGAGATAAAATAAAAGGTGGTAAGCCGGACAAAAGTTTCACATGGTAAATATTTCTTCAGAGTCCTCAAAATGAATTTGCAAGAGTCAGACATCTACTTAACGAGAAAGGACATTGGGCAGAAGTACACAAAAATAATGGATATTAGAGTACAATACAATTCTATTTCTAAATAAAAGTGTATTTACTAACAAATAGCATAAATCATATAAATACAGCAACAACTATTTTAATAACAGTATGAATAAGCTTAACTTTTAAAAACAATCTAAACAGCTCTGACTTCTTAAAAAAATATTCAGCTACTTTTACAATGGCAATTAATGCATCAGTCATAAGTTTAAATCCTTTTATATAATCTTTAATAGCTTTATTTGAAAATTAGTTATCATCCAAAATGCCTAATTTTTTATATAAAATTAAAATATATTAGGAAAATGAAATGTAAAATAATATATTAAGATCAAAAATCTACACATGTTATGAATGGAAAACATTTAAAAAATATTTCATCAAAATATGCTATGAAAATTTTAAAGCATACAAATCTCACACAAGATTCCTAGCAATTAATAAGTTTTTATGCTCAAATAAAAACTCACTCTTTTTATATTAATCCATCGTTGCATGTAATCTGGCACTTCGAATTCTGATATATTGCTCTGTACTGGTAAGCTGAAACATAAGAGTAATTTTAGATTATCAGAATTTCAAAAAAGAAATGTATTTTAAATTGAATTGAACTGAATTATTGTGTTTTAAACTCAGGTTTAATTCAGTAAAATATTTTTTTAGACATTACTTTAATTGAAATTTCAAAATTGTTTGAAAACTCAATTAAAAATTTACTCTGAGCACTTTTGTTGATTCAAGAATTTATCTCCTCCTTAAAAATACTTTTTTACTGTACTGCTTAATATTTAAGTTAAAGTAAAATAACAAGCTAATTAACAAGTACATTAGGTCCAAAAATTTTGTTATAAGTACAAAAGTTAAGCATACCTTTATTTTTATGTCTTGTGCAAAGAAGTTTTTAATTTCTAGACACCAGCTTAATGTGTTTATGTTAGTTTTAAAACACTTGAAAATTTAAGTTAAACCACTTTTTCAGCTAAATATTTTGCTTATTTTCTACTTTTTTTTAAAAATTAAACTAGTTATTAAGGATTTTCAATAGAAAATAATTTAATATAAAATCTGGTAATTTAATATAAAAAGTCAATTTCTAATATATTTTTTCCATAACAGTTTTAAAAAATCTGCAAAGATGAAAATATTAGTAAATAATTTAACATTTATACCAATTTAACATTATACTAAATAATTTAACATTTATACCAATTTAACACTATACTAAATAATTTAACATTTATACCAATTTAACATTATACTAAATAATTTAACATTTTTCTTAAAAAACGTTTCAATGATATACTGTTATGATTATAAATAAATGCTTTAAATAATAAAAAATTACAGGTAATCAAGATCAGGATCACCACACGTTACGAAAGCAAATTTAACATCAGGCATTAAAAGATTTTCTTTCTTCATCCAATCTAAAAATTTCTGAAAAAAATAAATAAAATAGTTCAATTTTTTATTAGTGATGGTTTTAAAAAAATCAAATTACAATGCAATAAAAAATAAAATAAAAATTTAGATAATAAAATTGGAAACGAATTAATATAAATATTAAATCATTCTTAAAAATGTTCATATTATAGATAACAAAAATTGCCTCTGAAAATAACAACTTTATGGTTGAGAGCATTGTTAAGAAATAGTGGAATGACAAAGTATTTGAATGTCTACAGAAAATTCCTTGAAGACGAGAGAAAATTAATAATTATACTTCTGGATACACATGCACAAAAACTTTATAAATGCATAAATGAAATTCTTTAGAAATATTAATTCCAACAAAATATTCTCAAATGTAAGAATTAAATTTTAATTACCTAAAACCTCACTAGTTATTTTGCTTGAAAATCGCATATTATTTTTCATAAAATACTTCAACCTAAGGTAGTAACCTAATAAAAATTTAATTTTTAAACAAAATTAATATTAATAATCTAGTTAAATATTTATATAGTCATTGAATGGATGCCCCCTTAGACAGGATGACAAGGGCCTTTGCACCTTAGGCTTCATGACTTGGGTCATTGTCCCCTTCGCCCTTTCTCAACATGCCATTATAAAGAAATGAAATAAAAAGGTTTTCACATCTTTTTTAAGAGGTGGTCTAGTTTACAAAATACATCGACATAAAATTTTAATTATATTTTTCTGTTGATAACGAAAACTTAACATAGACAAACCAAACATACCATAACAAACCAAAAAATAACACAGCATAAAATATTTAATTTGTATTGTCTTTGAAAATGGCTTATTGAGTTTGAAAGAGGAAAGCTTATATGTTATTATGCTATAATAAAATTTTAACATTTGAGGAATGGAAGCTTTAAAGTTTTATAATTTCAAAACTAATTCAAAATTTTGAAAAAGGTCATGGTCCTTATTATCTACACACATAAGAGCTCATTGTTTAAAAACATATAAAATTATTTTGGCTTTTTAAACAGAAGGTACAAAACAACAAGAACTCATGCAAAGGCCAGATAAAAACACTTTTTAAAATAGATTGATTATGAAATTACTCAGAAAACTCTATAAACTAATAAGAGTTTAACTCAAATTGATCTCATTAATTGTAACAACCAAACTGAATTTTTTTATAAAAAAGAAAGAAAGACTCTGGTTTCTTAACAATAAAGAGGAGAGCAAATTGCTGATTTTTGAGAGAGGGATACTTAACAGAATTTTTGGTGCTGTCTATGAGAATAACAAATGGTGCACACTTTACAATCATGAATTACATAAAAAGTATAAACAACCAGACATAGTTCATGTTATTAAAGTCAATCGCATTCCATGGCTGGGACACCTTTATAGATGTGAAGATCAAAACCCAGCAAAAAAAAGTAACTTTTTTTAAACCAGAAGGTACAAAAAAAAGGGGTTGTCTACTGACTAGGTGACTGGGCGCAGTTGAGAGGGACCTAAAGATAATAGGAATAACTAACTGGAAGGCCATGGCGCAGAATAGATCAAGATAACAAAAACTTATTGGGATGGCCTTGGCCTGTCATAGGCTGAAGTGCCCAAGAAGAAGAAGAAGGAAAACTTCTGTTGCATTTTAATGTAAATAAAAACGAAAGGTTTTAATACAGTTGTAACTTTTTCTTAATTTTAGTATTTTTAGTTGCAGTCATACTCTAAAACACAGCATATTTTAAATGAAAGTCATTTATTCACTGTTTACATTAAATTAAACCACAGTTTAATACACCAATTTCTTTAAATTTAAAAACTCATAAAAGTAAATTAAAAAAATTTGTTTTCAAAATTTTAGAAATAATTTTAAAATGCTGATATTTGCTTAAATTTCAAGAACATTTTGCTCTAACTTATAAATGATCATTCATTGAAATCAACGAACGAAAAAGAATTAATAACTTCTTCAGAAGTGAATTAGTACATTTCAAAAGTCAGTAAAGTATATAAGTAAATATGCTTATAAAAATGCATAATTACAGCTTATATTTTTGAATATGAAAAAGGTAAAGTAATGGCTTAGAATAATTTTGTACCTTTTTCTACTTAAATGAATTCTAGGTGCAACTTATGTCATATAATAAAACTGTAAAAGATATTAATAACAAAATAACAACATCAAGTCCCTAATTAATTATGGAAAACATTGCGTATCACAAATTTTGAATGAAAATTATTAGTTTGCAGATTCGAAACTATATCAACATTACAGAAAATAATTTATTTAAGTAGATTTGATACCCTTTTCTAAAATGGGAAAAAAAATTACAAACCAATGAACTAAAAAATTAAAACAAAAAGCTATATTAACATTAAGAACACACTGTAACTCAAATTACAAAAACGTTTGAGTTTAAATTGTACTTTAACTCAATACTTAAAATTATAATACTTTAAGTCAATAATTAAAATATGATTTAAAAACAGTTATTAACTAAACACACATAAACTTCAAAAAAAAAAAAACTTTTAAAATGTGGTGACTTATACAAACATATGAAAGTACAGTAGAGAACCAATTATCCGGGATGCTCGGGACCATCGCTATCCCGGATATCTGAATTTCCCGGTTTTCTGGATCGACCAAAAAGTGTCGTTAATCGATGTTTTATCGAACCCTCATGCACATATCCTAATCATATTTGGAAAGATTTCTGTATCGTGATCTGTTGCAGAATAATCGCCAAGTTTTGGCGGCTATTGAGCAATGGCCTTAGAGAAACTAAAAATAAGAAAAATCACAGAAAGTGACCAACTTGAATCGTATCCACCCCCAGGCAAGCACCTACTTGTTTTTTTAAAGTTCAAAATCTATTTGGCACTTTGATTTGGTGATTGTAGTTGGCCCTACAGATAACGATAAGGAAATATCCCCTTATATTTTTTTTAGAAATGAAGAGTTTAAGAATCTTTCATGAGTGCTCAAGAAGTGCTTAAGAGGTTCTAACTTNTTTTTTTTGTTGATAAAAACAAGATTTTTAATTACAGCAGATGTGATTCCACACCAAGAAAAACTTGCAATTGATACCGCTCTTCCAAAGAATGAGAATTTATTCAAAAGAAAAAGATTTTATTTTTATTAGTCGATGTCAAATAAATATATTTTTCTCTTTTCTTTTTCTGTTCACTGATATGCATGCAATGCATTTTCCCCACCCCCCTCGTAAATCAAGCAGAAAACGAAATCAGCATGCCACACCCTTGAGTTTGATTGACGGCCTAAAGGAAAAAATAAAGCAATCCTCCCTTCCCTGCCTTCAAGGTCACGGAGGAAATGACGTTTCTCTGAGTAAACGGGGAAATTTTTTTTCCCCTTCCTTACATTTTCCTCTCTTCAACTTCAAGGATGAGTTCAATTTCCGCTTTTTTCCTTCTACTTCAAAATGGCGGGAAAATCGAGCAAAATTTTTCCCGGTTTTCTGGTTTCCCGGTTATCTGGATACCGGATAAATGGTTCTCTACTGTAGTTTCAAATCAATTACAATATTTTAAGCAAAGTTAAACAATTTAATGAGTAAAATTACAATTAAATCATTCTTAAAAAAAATTTCATTTATTATAGTAAATACATTTTCAATTAATACATACTTCAAAAACAACATTGAATGAAGGTTGGTCATCAATCATACCTTGAATTATGCCTGTTAACTACAAAGGACAATGAAAAAATGGGTTAAAGATATTAGTAAGAAGAAATAGAGAAATTATATTAAAAAGAAATAGCTAAATATTATTTGGAAACATATTCAAAGTGCTTGGGGTAATATGATAAAGCTACATTTCTTAAATTGTTTATGAGAACATTTTTGATGAAAAGACCATGAATTAAATGTATGTAATATAATGTCTCTATGTATTGTGTTGTCCTCTAGTGTAAACTGTTCCCAAAAAACTACTATACTAAGGAACAGATTGGTGTAAAAATTACACTTTTGGAAAAAGTGTGCCTTATCAAAATTTGCCCCAATTTTTTAGTTTCCAAGATAAGAACAAAATTATGATTAAATAAAATCATTTTTTTCTCCAAAATTCAAATAAGAACATGATGCTTTGTTTCTAAATGTTTAAAGACACTTTGATAAATAAGAAAATATTTCAAAGACTTTGCAGCAAGCTGAGGTGATAAGTAGTTTTAAAAATATGCCAAACAAGTGATGCTACTTACCAAATTTCACTTTCTTTACATTAAAGATTATCTTTATTTACCTTTGATGGTCATGGTCGGATATGTCACCAGATATTTAATTCATAGACTGCAATAGGGATACCGGACATTTTGACATTTAATAAATTGCACTCTTAAAATTTAAAATAAATTTTCTACGGTTATTTTAGTTATGTTGCATTGGGAACCTCTTGAACATAATTTTGCGCTCAGAGATCTGCGGCAAAGACGAAGTGAAGGGTAGAAACAGCCAGCAAAGTTAGTCCTGTATGATTGAGCAAGATTCGCTTCAACCTTATTTTAATGTTAACATGTGATTGCCAATAAAAGACTGCTACTATAGTTAGTCTGAAGCAGAGTTTGTTGATAAAAATACGTTTGATTTAAATCACGATTTAAATCAAATGATTTTTTTTTTTAAAATCATTGATTGATCAACTGATTTTTATATATATACATTAATTTAAAAAGTCAAAAAACAGTGTTTTAAATTATTGATACTTTTATTATTTTCTTTTCTTAGTTTTAAAATTTATTTTAAATAAATTGCTGCATTAATTAATTTTAGTTAACAAAATTACTTTCCTTCTTGATGTGTGCTAAATTCCAACACATTTGAAATTATATTTTTAAAAATCTTTTGATTCTTGAGATTGAAAGTACAGATTAAAGATTATAGACTTGCATAGCTGTAGAAAGTAATTAATAAACATGAACTGTTTTCAGAAAACAAACAAAAAAAATTTAATAACATTCTACCTTTTGATTGAAAAAGCATGGAATTAAAATCTATATTATATTTTATTGATGGAAAAGGTATATTTTTAAAGCTTGAGGTTATCTTAAAAAGAAATTACCCTAATATGCCAAAATAGGGTTTAAATTCTCTTTTTCATCTAGTCTTTAAATTTGAATCATGCATTTGTTTCAAAATGGTTGCAATGCATTCAAAGCTATATATTATAATGAAAATTTTTTATAAGTAGTTAGAGCTTCTAAAATACTGTTATAATATAGTTTTAATATTAATTTCATTTCGTTTAAACATTTATAAAGCTTTTTTAATCATAAATCAAAGTTCTTACAGTGTATTAGAATAAAAATAAAAAAAATTTGATTTAAATTTTAAAAAAATCTTTATTCTTCTGATTTTTTTTTTAAAAATCACGAGCCCTGGTCTAAAGTAAGAACACCCCTAGCCATTCATCAGGACTCATGACAGTGACTATGGTAACAAGGTGTAACTATTTCAAGTAGGGGTGTGGGGTCACTGTTTCGGACAGGTTTTGGCTCAGGTTGGCGAGAGAAAGGGAATATTTTCTTCAGTCAATTGTGTTAGCCTTAGAAGGAAGAGAAGCTACCCTCCCTGAAATGCGCTATTCTCGTTTCCATAGCAGTAGACAGCTTCAGACTTTGTGGCGGGGGGGAGTTCTTATCGTAGACAAACTATATCTGTGATTATCTCCAACATACAAATGATACTGCCTAATTTTGTTTATAAAAGTTAAATATCACTAATATTGTCAGAATAACTAACATACTCCATAGTTTTTGCCGAAAAATAATATCACATCTTTTGATTCGAGTATCCTTCTAAATTATAATTTTAGAAACAAAATATTTACTTTGGCAAGAAATATTTAAGTAAATTATACAACTTGATTGATATAAATTATATAAAAATACATTACTTCTACAACATACAAAAAATTACACAACTGAACTAATAAGTGACAAACAAATACAATGTAACATAAATCTCATATATAACTTAATATACAAATAAATTATACAACTTACTTCAGTACAGAAAGATGATAGCTCAGGATTTATTTCTGGTTTGACATAGGAATGAAAAGTTGATTCTATGTTGAAAGTAATTCCATTTACTTTTAAAACTGGAAATTCAATAATTTCCTGAAAAGAATTTGAACAACTCAATCATCAATTATTTTTCTACAAAAAAATATTTTAAAGATTACATGAAGATAGGCATGATTTAAACTTCAATGTTTTATTAACTAGGGAAAAATTCCAAAAACTTAATTAAATTACATAACCTTTTTGGAAAGTAAAAGAGTTGCTAATAAATCTGTTAACGGCCAATTAAAATAAAAGTTGCAGTAACTAAAGCATACATTTAAAAAAAAATCTAAGGCTAAAGCATAAAAATCTAAGCTAGATTTAGATACATAACCCCTTTGTTGATGAAAGAGATACCAATGTAAACAATCCGTTCAAACTTTAAGTATTAGTAAGTTTAAGTATATAAGACAGAAATAAACTGCATAATCTTTTGAGCGTCAGTCTCGGTTTTTTCCGAAAATCCTGGAGTAAACTGATCACCTGAAGATCAGTTTTCTCAGGTATATCAATGGGAAAATAGTATAGCACAAAAATTTAAGTAAATTTTTAATGTTTAAAGGGTTAATCTTCTCAGCATGTCATCACATAGAAATTCTACAGAAACAGAAAAAGTTATATTTACAAGTTATACAAAATAATTTGTTTTTTTTTTTTAAACCTTCTCTGTTTATTTAAATTTGTGAATAAAGATCATAATTTTAAAAAAATTAGTTTTCAGAGCATTTATAAAAGTTTAGTTAACCAAGACGATCTTCCTAGTTTGTCATTTAATAACGAAAGAATTTAAAATGGGGAGATTTCCGTATCGTGATCTGTGGCAGAATAATCGCCAAGTCTTGGTAACTTCCGGGCAGTGGCCAGGGAGAAACTAAAAAAACCGTCACAGAAAGGGACCTACTCAAAAAGTATAACTAGTAACCACCCCCCAATAAACATCTACATGTTTTTTTTTTTTTAAAAATTTGCTAATTTAAAATCTATTTGGCATTTTGGAAATTGTAGTTGGCGAGACAGATCATGATCCGGAAATATCCCCTTTAAAATTTTACTTCGTGCCTAACCTAAAGCTTGATATTCGATTTCACAGTTAAGGTGATAAAAAATTATTGATAGAACAGGTGATTGAATCTAAGTTTTATAGATAAGGTATTTACAAACAAAAATAATTAAAAGACAAATTCATTGACATATTATACTAACGGGCGGTTCCACATTTACAGGAGAGTCACATGTTGCTTCGAAATCTAAAACTAGGAAAAAATCAAATTTTTGCTCTGGCATACTCTTAACTTTGGGTGCCAGTTTCAAATGTTGATCAATAAACAAAGGGAAAGTCCTTTTCGGTTTGTGAATTTTAAATTCTTGATTTTCATTTCTTAGAAATGGTTTTTTGAATCGAGCTTTGGAGCGATAATTTATGTTACGATAAATAATATAGCTACAATTTGATCTTCCACATAAACCAAATCGCGAAAACATATTTTTTTTTAAAGTTTAAACTTTGTTAATGCAGCCAGATTCTGAAAATAAAAAAATCAGTGTGTTGCTATTTCACACGTTTGATTTAACGCTTAAATTTATTAAAAAAGAACTTGAACACTTTCATTTCTTCTTCCAAAAAATTTTCGAAATGAAAACGAACTAAAAGTGTTGTTTACTTATTTAATAACTTTAAACGCCTTTAACTACCTATTTCTGCTAAGCTAAAGGTGGATTTTCATAATGCACTAATATTTAAATCTCAATTAAATGATGTAAACAACAACTGAAAAATGAGAATCGATGCATTCAATCCATGTCAACAACTGGTTTCAAAAGAATGCTTACTCCTCAAAACCATTGTTTTTCGAACATATGTAGCTTCTTATGTGTGTCCATCTTTAACATGGTGTCACATTTTGTATTCGAGTTTTAAGGAAACTTTTTCCCAGCTTGTAATCTTTTTTTCTTCTCTTTTTGCATGAGTTTTTCGCAAGTGAATAAATTTCCCCGATCATGTTTTCTGTTAGATGCAAAAAAAAAATTAATTCGCAGGCAATGAGAATGCTCCTTACGTTTTCTCAGAATAGCT